GGACACAGCAAAGCCCCAGAGAGGAAGTGGCTGGCCATTTGAAGAACCCAGACAGACAGGCTCAGAGGGTGGCAGGGAAGTTCCCAAAGTGGCCAGGCCTGAGGAGGCCATCCAGGACCAGCTGGTGGACCAAGCTACCCACCCCCCGTACCCTGGCACTGGATCACAATCCCAGGAAGATTAGCAGGCAGGGGAGGAAACCCTCAAAAGGCTCAGGTCTAAGCTTTCCTGTCAGCCTAGTGGAATGGTACTCGAAAAAATTAAGTTAGGTCATCGAAGCTAAAGAAAGTTCTAGTTCTTACATAGTCAAGTAGGAGGTAGGAGTCATACCCTCTCTGGCACAGACAACAGTCCGGGTGAATTCCTTACCTGATCCGGTGTTTGCAGCTTCTGCCATGAATGGGGAGTCCTATGCCTTATCCTTCTCTGAATACCCGCCCCCCCCACCAGTGCCCAGTGAGGAGGCCAGTTAGTATGGTCACTGCTCAGCAAACCTCCATTTCATTAGGGTGGAACCAGCCTCCACGTCTTATTGGTCAGAATCAGAGGCAGGAGCCGCGATGAAGCTGGGAGGGTGGCCAGGTCACTGCCGGCTGGGATGCGTCGTGGATTTCTGCCTGTCTCCTCTACTAGGCTGGAGGCACTGTGGAGGAGGGGCTCCATTCTTACCCACCACCCCGTTCCTAGCTTGGGCCTGACACATAGTAGGTGCTTACTAAATGTCTGTTGAATGAGTGAGTGAGTAGCTGCGTGGTGGACAGAGCCCCGTGCCCCCACCCAGGGCTCCGCCCCAGCCCCAGCTCACCTGGTACCAGGAATAGGCCCGGTCTGCTGGGTTGATGAGGATGGTCAGGACCTTGGCCTTGGGCAACAGAGCGGCTGCCCGCCGGGGCGCCACTTCCGAATCAAAGTAGTTGGCGCTTTTCTCAAAGTAGAAGTCGGAGGTGGTGTTGGAGGGGATGGGGAAGAACTCCATGTACCTGCAGGAAGCCCAGACAGAAGAGCTCACAGGCAAGACTCATGAGGGGGGCATGAGAGAGTGAGGTGAGGGTCACTGGGGGTAGAACTTCGAAAAGCAAGCAGAGCACAGTGATCCCACGGACTCGCTTCTGGTAGGGATTCTGCACACACGGCCACTCGGCAGTCTCCCATTTTCGAATCCACTCCTTTCCAGGGGGGACCTTGGAGTCAGGAGGATATGAAGACTTACGGAAGTGATATGGCTTGTAAGGCATGGGATGGGGGTCGCGTCTTTGAACCTAAACAAGATGCTCCCAGTTAAACTGACAGGGCCTTAACTCCCATTGCCTCGAGGGGGAGAGCTGGGACACCTCCAACCCCAGAAAGGGCCAGCATGGACTGGAGGAGCACCCTTAGCTGCCCCCAGAGTACAGGGTTTCTTTCCTGACCTAGAACAGCACTTTCTAGGCTGTCACTGTGGACCAGGAGACAAAGAAAGGGGGAGTGTGTCACCTCCTGCCAGCCACACCCTTCCCCGGCCTCACATAGGTCAGCCTCATGGCTTTCCAGATAAACCTCCCGTATCTCACCCAGAGTAACGTCCACGCCAGTCCTTTGGGACCAGCTCTGAGTTGAGGACATCTTGGAAAACTCAACCAACACTCCAGACCCTACCAGGGGCATCTACTCAGGCAAAATAGACGTACAAACACAGGGGTGCCTGGGTGGCTCAGTTGGTTAAGCATCTAACTC